GTTTTTGGAATTTGGTTTGGCCGTTTTAGAGAGGTTCTAGGTCGTGCTTTTGGTTGGAGAGGCTTGCATATGTATGTTTGAATCAGAATCAAGTCACATGATGAGCCTTTAACCATTGCAATGATATTTTTGGATTTCTTCATAACCACCATTAAAACATTTTCCAATTTTGTTCAAATTTGAATTTTCATGCTTAAAATGGACTTTACACGAATTTGGCAAGTGTATTATGCTTCATGAAGGCTAATCAAACCACAAGATACCATTTAATCAATTTTTTTGATTTTACTTGAATTATTATGGATTAAAATGAATTAAATCCATAAAAATTAAATAAAAATAGAAAAATAATTAGTTGGTCTTGAAATTGATCATGGGACACGTGGGTGGCATGACAAGGCTGAAACAAGTGGAAAAAAGTGGGCCCTTTTGTCAAAAATTGAAGTTTCAAGGATAGTTGACTTTGGCCATTTCATAAAAATTTCCCAACTTCTTCAATGCATATCTTGCTCAATTTTGATCATATGAATATGTTCTTGGACATTTTGGAAAGGTCTTGAAGTCCTCTAACCAATGCCTTTGGTCCCATGTCATTTGAATATACAAATCTCAAGTTATGGTCTTTGACTTAAAGTGTCTTTTTGTTGACTTTTGAAAATGACCTATAATGTTGAAATTGATAACTTTTTGTGAGAGCATTTCTTGGACTTGGAATGTGAAGATGAGTTGTAGGAAATGTCCTCCCCTTCAAAATGAGCATTGGATGGGATTTTTTTGATGAACCATGAAAAAGTTATGCCTTGGTCAAGTTACAGTTGACTTTTCAACTGTCCAAAAATGGAAACTTTTGCATCTTGATGATTTTTGAGCCATTCTTGTGGAATCATGATCAAGACTTGATCAAATGATGATTGTGGCTTCAAAATAAGATGTTGACCAAATTTTTTGACTTTTGACTGCCAAATGACCATTTTGCCCCTGCAGTTGGTTGTGGAGCAAATGAGGCTTTTGACTGTGCAACTTGACCTTGTGAGCCTTGAAACTTGACATGGGGATGCTTGACAAGGTGTATAGGCATATGTTACTTGATTGAGCCTTTGAAAACCTCAACTTCCTTGCAAGAAACAAAACCCTAATTTTGATTGACTTAGGAGGATGTTTGACTGTGCAACCCTTGAGAGATTTTGAACCATTTGAAGATTGATCTTGAAAAATTTTGAAGAATATGGGAGGGAAAATTTTGGGGTACAACAGGAATCTTATTCGAAGAGCCAGAAACTCAAGTCGAAAGAGAAGTTCGACAAGAGGAACCAGCAGATATACCAAGTACAAGCAGACCTCAAATAACAAGACGCATGCCTGCAAGATTGCAAGATTGTGTGATTACATCAGATGATGTAATAGATAATGAAGGTGAGCTGGTACATTATGCTTCCTATGCAAATGTCGAACCTGTTAATGCATCTGAAGCATTAAAAGATTCAAAGTGGGTGAAAGCAATGAACAAAGAAGTAAAGTCTATCGAAGACAACAACACTTGGTCACTTGTCGAATTGCCTCAAGGAAAGAAGGCAATTGATGTCAAGTGGGTATACAAAGTGAAAACGAATTCGAAAGGTGAAGTAACTCGACACAAAGCAAGACTTGTGGCGAAAGGATTTCTACAGAAAGAAGGAATAGACTTCGACAAAGTTTTTGCACCTGTTGCTAGGATCGAAACAATCAGGTTGGTTGTTGGTCTAGCAGAAATAAACAGTTGGCACATATGTCAGATGGACGTGAAGTGTGCATTCCTAAATGGACCCTTAGATGAAGAAGTCTATGTTAAACAACCAGTTGGGTTTGTGAAACATGACAAAGAAAGAAAGGTGTACAGGCTACATAAAGCCCTGTATGGATTGAAACAAGCTCCAAGGGCTTGGAATAAGAAAATTGATAGTTTTCTAAGGGAGAAAGAATTTGTGAAGTGCACAACTGAACATGGAGTATATGTAAGAAGAAGCAAGAGTAAATTGCTTATACTATGTCTCTATGTAGATGATTTGTTGATAACAGGTAGCTGTAAAAAGTGAGATCGAAGACTTCAAAGGTGATCTCAGCAAGGAATTCGAAATGTCTGATTTGGGTGAGATTTCATATTTCCTTGGTATCGAATTCTACAAGAGCAGTAGAGGTTTGACGATGCATCAAAGAAGATATGCAGGAGAAATTCTCAAGAGGTTTGAGATGGAAGAATGCAACTCAACTTCGACACCTGCAGAACCAAGACTGCAACTGTCGAAAGATGCAGATGAAGATGATGTTGATCCAACCCAATACAGAAGACTTATTGGATCATTAAGATATCTTTGTCATACAAGGCCTGACTTAGCATACAGTGTAGGTATGGTAAGTAGATTTATGCAGAAGCCAAAGGTATCACATCTAGCAGCAGTGAAGAGGATACTAAGGTATCTCAAAGGAACTTTCGATTATGGTATTTTGTTTCCTGCAGTTGATAAAGGAAAAGAATGCAAGTTAGTGGGATACACTGATTCGAGTTGGTGTAGTGATGCTGAAGATCGAAAGTCAACAGCAGGATATGTGTTTATGCTAGGTGGTGCACCAATTGCTTGGAATTCAAGAAAGGAACCATTAGTGGCATTATCATCATGCGAAGCAGAATACATAGCTGCTTCTCTTTGTGCATGTCAAGCAACTTGGATGGTGAACTTGGTCGAAGAGATAACAGGGAAAAATCATGGAGCAATTACCATGAAGATAGACAGCATGTCAGTTATTAATCTGGCAAAGAACCCAATAGCACATGGTCGAAGTAAGCACATCGAAATGAGATTCCATTATCTTCGAGAGCAGGTAGAAAATGGGAAGATGAATTTGGAACACTGCATAACTGAGAATCAGATTGCAGATATCATGACGAATGGAGTGCAAGTCGAAGTATTCAGAAAGCTAAGAGCCATGATGAACATAGACAGTTTAGACACAATGAATTAGGTGGTGTGTTAAATTGTAATTCATAGTGTCAAAGAAGATTTGATTTATTTTAGATTTAAATAGATTTGATTTATTTTAGATTTAAATAGATTTGATTTAAATAGATTTGATTTGATTTGATTTAGTAACAAAAAGATATTTTGGGCTTTGGGCTTAGGGTGTAAGCTCAGTTATAAATAGAGGGAGTAACCCATATTTTTCATATAGCAAGTAAAGAAAGTCAAGTAAGTCAATTCATTGTAATCACAGAATTTGCAGTTGCAAGTGATTAAGAAAGTTTTCCACAGTTTGTGGGCAGAGAGAAACTCTGCAGAAATATTTGTGTTGTCTTCTTTTCTTTGTTTGTCTCATAATTAAATTGTCATTGTGGTAGAAATTCATCATAGAATTTGGTGGATTTCCAACAGAATCAATGGCAATCATTAATGCAATTTCCCGATCTGTCACCATAATATTTGGTAGCAATTTCACTGAACAGAATAACTCTTTGAGCTTCTGTAGTGCCCATGTGAAGTTCTCCTCCCTTTCGTGTTTCAAATAGGCAAAAACAACTGAAAACGTCAATTTTGTTGACTGTGCCCATTCTAGAACTTTGCCCATTATGTAATACCATGATTTTTTTCAGTAGACCGTGTCCATTCTAGAACTTTATCTCGTGATTCAAAAATCCAGCAATTACAATAACATTACAATAACATATAATTAGTAAACTTCATCAATTTACAAAAAATAAATTCGTAATTGTGTAAATGGTATAGAAAATATACGGTATCTATGATGAGGAACTGTGTAAGATCAGTACATGAATCCATAGAAGAAACTGAAGCTTCTGATCCAGGACCGCGAAGATATAAAACTTCATCTGCAGACATACTAGAAATTTCAAGTATAACTGAAATTTCCGGTACACCGAAAATTTGAAATTTCCGATACACCAAAAATTTGAAATTTCCGATAAAGGTTTTCTATCGGAAATTTTCTAAATTTCTGATATTTGTAGAACTTTTGTAAAATTTATCGGAAATTATAAATTTCCAGTAAATCGCAATCGAAAATTTTGAAATTTCTGATATATCGCTACCGGAAATTTGTAGAATGTAAAGAATTTTTAGTATGGGACAAAAATCGATCCTAGAAATTTGTTATGAGTATAGGAAATTTCAAAATTTATCTCTTTGACCAATAACAAATTTTTTTGACAAGTGTAAAAAATTTAGAGTAAATGATTAAAGAAATATTTTGAAAATATTAAAATTTAGAGGGTGACATGTTAATTTCTCATGATTTTTTTGGATAAAATTCAATTTGATTTCTTTAAAAAAATAATTATGAAATTTCTGGATTTTTTTTACGGAAAAGTTATTTGGACACCTGAAGCAACAACTACACCGTTTAATGATATGATTTTAATTTTGGAAAAAAGTTGATGCATTGTTCTACATTGACAACCATGTATTTAGTTAAAATATACTTTATTTTGAAAAAAAATTAAATAACATGCCACATTGTTTATTTTCTATTGTTCATTGACATATCAATTAAACTCTTTATTTATTTTTTTAGATCTTTTCAAATCAAAAGAAAAAGACAAAGATATTTATATGTATTTACATACCGTGTTTGACATGGGTGTCAAATTTTGATGTTCAAATAACAGAACTCTTATTAGTAAGACTATGTTGGGTGTTTTTTTCTTGTAACTTTGATCTAGTTTTTGGATTGGATTTGTTTTTATATGTATGTAAACAATTTAATAAATTATTTAAATTCTCAACTAATGAATATTTTGAGTCCGGCAAATTAGAATATTTGTGTTAAAGAAAAAAATTAATTTAAAGCCTTCTCCTTTCAGAGAAAAAATTTGGACATTATCATACAAATAAAACCAATTGAAAAATATTTTTCCTTTCTCACATAGAAGCACACCACAAATATGAGAACTATTTTTTAGTTCATCAAGGAGCTGGGATGAAAGCATCTAATATAGTTAAAATTCAGTTTTGTTATATGCAATTTTCTGATGTACAAGCTTGAATATATGATTTAGATTTACCATCCATGTCTTCAGAATTTACCCCATTTAAGCTTTTGTTAAATTTTTCTCCAAGCTTTAACCATTCAACTTGAATGTTTTCTTGGATTTTCTTGGCCATTTCCCTCTCATCTTTCAACTGTGGAACTTGCTCCTTCAACTCATCTCTTTGGGCTTTGAGAGCTTTTGCTTCTTCAAAAACTTCTCTTTTTCTCTTTGCAGCCGTGAACTTAGCCGATTGAAACACGGATATGTTAGCTTTTATCGCATTTATCTGATCTTCTAGCTCTTTCTTTCTTTGCTCCAAAGTTGCTAGCTGGTTGCATAACTCATTTTCCAAAGACAAAACTTCCTTGAACTCGTTCTTGTTTGCTTCAAGACTTTCTTCGAGTTTATCTGCTTTTGCGATGTTGGAGCTTGCTGACTCTATCTTCTTACTAGCGTCGTTGTAGTCACAACTCCACCGAGTGAATTCTCTAGAAACTTCCAATATCAACAACTTCATTTCGGACGAGATTCCCTTGACGGATGACATATTGGAAAGGTATTCTATCGTAGATTTCATGGCACAGCACTGTTTGGCCTGCAGTAGAACAGAGAACTCTTTGGAGAGAAGGTCTTGCAGTGTTTTCAATGCTTTGCTTGTCTCTTCACAAGGCGTAGTAGTGTTGGATGATCTGGTGATGACCGTGGTATCTTGGGCAGGTGACTTAAATGAGGTCTCAACATCGAGAGATGCATAAAATGCTTTCATTTCGGCGTCATCAAGAGATAGTTCCTCTTGATTTTGAGAAGAATCAAGGCTAGGCATTAACAAAGTGGAACTGTTTCTATGATTTAGTTCCACAATGGAATTGGAAGCATTATCAATGGATGCAATGGTAACAGCTCCAGTTCCATAATTTGGAGTAGGAGAGAAACATATGACCTGCGATTGAGGTTCGACTTTTAATGGACGTACCATAAGCGCTTTGCTGAATCCAGAATCTTCAACAAAAAGAAAAAAAGTTAGTAGTGGTAATGAAAAGTAGCAAAACATTAATATATGACATTTTGATTGTTTGCATCTTGTGTTCTACACAGACACAGACATGTATGACATTTGATTAGGCGTCAAAAAAAATATCATGCTAACCTTTGGCACTATTGGTACCACTAAGATATACCGGATACATCGAATCTTGAGTAACACCGACGGGTTTTGGTCGCTTGGGGCATATGACTAAATGTCGCTTCAAGTGAGAAGTTCCACAATTATCTTGCAACAGCTTTCCACAGTATTTACATAGAACTTTACTACCTTCGGTTGTTTGAATGCGCTGCATTTCTTCCCATACTTTAGATGTCATTTTCGGACGCTTTGAACTGTTAAAATCTTCGCAATCATAATCTATCTCACAGCTAGTTGTAATCTCATTTGTCATTCTCTCCTGTGAAAAAAACAATTAAACTAAGCAAAGCAAACTAATCGAGAATTTCAAATCCAAAAGACATAGCTATTCATTCGCTTACATAATAGTAAGCATTCACAAAGGCCAGAACACTGGCATCTGTTATATTTAAATAACACAAATAGCAAGAGATCTTATATTTTTACCAATTTAAAGTATAGCTGAATCAATATTTAAGCTCTAGAATAAAGAGTTTAATTCTGATACACTATCAGCAATCATGATCGTTCACAACCAATCATATTTATGACTACAAAAAAACATGATTAATGATCTAGAATTTCCGAGAAAAAAAAATTAGGATATGTTTGGATTGATGGAAAGGGATGGAATGGTGTCATGTTTCATTGTTTCGTTTTATCAAAAAAAAAAAAAGGAATGTGATAGAACTCATTCCATCCAATACCATTGTTTTAGTTCATTTTTCGTTCCACTCAAATTGAGGTATATCTAATGAAATGGAATAAATTAGTAACATAATTACAAATTTGTCCTCCAAATTTCCACTTCATTAAATTAGTGTTTTTGAATTAAAGGACAAAAATGGAATAAAAAGATTATAATGCTTTCCGTTCCGTTCAATTTCCAAACAGTGGAATGAGATATTAGTCCTGCTTCGTCGTAAAATACCCAAACAATGGAATGAATTTTATGTTCCGTTCCACTTTATTTTATTCCGTTTCACTCCGCTCCGCTCCGTTAGTTTTAAGTTATCCGAACAGATTCTTAAGGAAACATAAGCAATATGCTATAAACTCATAATTCACATTTTCCCCATAGTTTACACACCATTCAGGTAAAAACCTACCAGGACCGTCTTTGAAGACGAGCAAGGTAGGCTACCACACAGGGTTCAAGATTTGCTACACTTAAATGCAATTAAAAAGGGTTTTACTTTACCATAGTTAAACTTAGGCTAATCTACACAGTCTCCAAAAAATTTGAGATGGGTTTGAAACTTGCATCTACAATAAGCCATAATTCACGCCGCGACAACCGCAAACAGCATCCATCGCAACAACACCAGTATCCCGACTGAAATCGCAAAAGTCTTTACGCAATCGGTATTTAAAACCTTGGATACAATGCAAAGTAGTTTAACATTTTTTTAAATAGGTACAGTACTTGCATTTTACAGTAGTAATAATAATATTAATAATATAACAATATTCTTGTAAAAAATAAAATAAAATTAGTAATAAGAGTGAATTTTTTTATCAGTAGTTATAACTCCATAGAGATTCCATTTTCCTTCTTTTTCCAGGTTAATTGTTTTTTTTTTTTCAACACACACACAATCCAATTTTTTTTCTTCAGTATTTTCATCACTTTCCACTATTCAACTTTTATAAATTTCACAGATTGAAGCTTCAGTAAAAATAAAAACCAAAGTCAAGCCCTCTATTAAATCCTAAATTTCAAGTCCACATATTGAAAAAGAATCACAAGATTTAAAGCAAAAAGAACATGATGATACACACAGAATATATGAATCATGAAGTGGTTGTGTTACCTGGGTTCTGCAATTGTACCCAGCGAGGTGAAGCTGTTTGAGGGCAACAATGGCAGCGGGTTTCAGAGACGACGGCAGATGGCAATGCGCCAGGAAAGAAGAACTCACCGGGCTATGTAGGCTTTAAGCTTGAGCCCGGGCCTGCTTTGGGTAATGCATCGTATGGGCTGAAGCCCATACCCAAAATTTGATGAAGTTTTTTTATTATTATTTTAATGCACATTTGATCCCTATTTTCATTTATATATTTATTTTGATCTTTCCATTTTAAAAACAGATATTTTAGTTTAAAAAATAATAGTTGAAGTGAGTGGAATTCGAACTCAAGAATTCATCTGAAAAAAGAACTAATGGTCTTACTCTTACATGTTGGGAAACTGTCCCCAACACAACTTTGTTGATGAATTTTGTTAACATATTATTTATATTTATATAAATGAAAAAACAATTCTATTATCAAACTAAAATAGAAAAAGATAAGGGCTTCGTTGTTCAATTTAAAAAAAGAATCACACATTATTTTCGATATTTTATTTATTTATGAATTTTTTTTAAAATATTCATGTGGAACATAAATAATAAAAATTATATTTTTCCTTATTACAATCAGAATGGTTTTTTATTGATGACGGCAGATTTCAAATGTGATAATGCTAATCTTCGATACAATACCGCGATGGTGGATATGCAATGTTAGTCGTTGTTTACAGTGATTTCTGGTAAACAACCGCTAGTCCTCCAAACTATCAAATAATCTTAATGACTGTTATTTAATCTCTTTGGTAACTTGCAGGATCGACTAGATTGATCTTATGGTGTATTGGTCGTTTGGATAATTCTCATTGTAGAACTGATATTCATGGTTGGTATTTAGAATGTTGCGTAGGCGTTCAACTTACTTCGATTACCATATTAAAGATCTAATGACATGATCAAGTAAAGACGTGCGAAACTAAATTGCATGAATAAAGGTTCGATTGTAAAGACATGTAAAACTGCAAGAAACAAGTAAATAACTTTGAAGTATAAAAGCATGTAATGTAAAAGAGTTTCTGAAATGTAAAAGATTCGAAATAGAAAGAAAGCGTTTAAATGCGAGAAATCAGTAAATGACTTTGAATGGAAAGATATTCGAATGATGAAAGCATGAAGATAAAAGCGTGAAATACAAAAGAGTTTCTGTAATATAAAGTACTCGAAATAGAAGGAAAGACTTTCAAATGCAAGAAATCAGTAAATGACTTTGAATGAAAAGATTTTAATGTAAAGGCTTTTGAATGATATTGACATGAAGATAGAAGATAAACTGGAAATGATAAAGAGTTTTACTGAATCATAAATATTTGGTGTTATCATACGTACATTGTTCGAGCATTCGTTTCCCTAGCCATGTGGTATTTTGAATGTTTACTGAATTTTGTACAATAGATATGACACACGAAATCCTAACGCTAAGACTTCTATTTATACTACTTCGACCATAACGGTCTTGCCTATAAGATTCTGCCACGTTCAGAACATGCAGAGCACTGCCCCTCTCTAGCTTCCACGCGTCTTCGCATGCTCCAGCGCATATATTTTAAATTTCGAACATCCCGCTTGCGTTTGAATTTCAAATGTTTTGGCACTCTTCGCTTCGAACTCCTTTCTTAAACACAATCTCATTACCACTTCGAGGCTTCTTTTAACTATATCTTCACAACTGTCACTCGAAGCTCCGAGCTTTGACATGTTCATTCTAAGAACTGCTTCTACCATTCCGAACCATGACATCTTGCTTTATTCCAACGAAACATCCAACTTGCTTCGTTTCGAACTGTATCATCAAAATCTTCAGCCAACAAAATGCCCCTTTAAAATATGTATTTCGATCCTTTGAGAAACACTTATTTTAAATATATATGCAAGATTTTGATGTGACCTTTGAGTAATCGTAACATTTATTGTGTATGACTTCAGTCACGTCAATCACGACGCCTTTTGGATTCCTTAACCGTCTTGAATCAGTATTTCACAGCATGGTGCAGTTATAAAACAATGATTATTATTAATCACGCCTATTACCAATATCAACTTTTACGCCACCTCCTTCTCAATCCAACCCACGACTCCCACGTATCTTAGTCTTACTTAGTGGATGTTTAAACTTCTACACTATAAAAACCCATCAACTTAGTCTTTTATTTTTTCTTTCCACATTCTGAATCTTTTCTTCCTCTCTTCTCACCGAAATCCTAAAAACTTCCAACAATCTTCAACAATGTCTTCTACAACATCATCCCAATTGAAAAAAACTTCCAAAAAGAAAGGAAAGAACACAGGAACAATAATGGAAAGCAAGGTTGGTACTTATCAAGGTCAATCTGTGCTTATCCCCCAAATGATCTCCAAAGAGAAGGAAATGCTCTACGCATCTCAGGTACTAATTCCAACTAATGCTGCTGGAAAGAGGTTTGCTCTAATGGGTCCTCTTACAGTCTTTGAAATCTTAAAAGATACTAGAAAAATCTTCCCTGTTTGTTATAACTTTAAGCCTTTGTTTAATAAAATGGATATCCCTAAGACAGGCGAGTCTTCTGATTCGACAACCGTGGAAACTCCAATCGTTCCCCCAAAAGACCCCTTTGTGCTAGACTATGTGAAGAGCAACTTTAAACCGTTCCGATCCTGCCCCACTTCTGACACAGCTTACCAAAACTGGTTTACCAAAGTAGAAGCCAAGAAATCCCAGCAATGGGAGGAATTAGGAATTTACAATTTGATTAAGTTATCGAAACCAGGCTTCATCTATAGTCATCCATTATTATTTGCGTCCTTATATTTCTGGGACAACACCTACAACACCTTCCATCTCCCTGGGGGAATGATTACACCTACATTTTTCAATATAACAGCCATTACTGGTTTGTCACCAGTACGAGAAACCTACATTCCTGACAATGAAGAGCACTCTAGTATTATTGACTTCGAAGTCAAATTAGCCAGCTTTTCAAAGTTCATTAGCCACTACCACACTGAAGGAGATAGTGTGTCAGATGTGGAACACATTGCTTTCCTCACCTTATGGTTATCAAGGTATGTATTCTGCAGTAGGTCCTTACAGGTAGCCAGCAGGTTCATCCCTCTAGCTAGAGACTTACATGAGAATAGGAGGGTGTGTTTAAGCGAACTATTACTTGTTGATATTTACGAAAGCTTAAGATCAGCCGTTTCGAGTTTGAAATCCCACACTCCCAAAAACATCCTTCTAGCTGGCCCCTTCTGGTTACTCCAGTTATGGCTTAATGCCATGTTTGAACCCTCACTATCAACTGCTAACACTATTGTTGAACAAGATCCAGAGATAGCGGATAGAATCATTGAAGGTACGAGGCTGCGAAAACTTACCCCAAACGATGATAAAGATGACTTCAAAGTTCTCTTCTCAAACTATATCATGGTTTTCTCCAAGAGACACAAA